CCTCAATGACAAGAAGAGTGAGCTCTGTGTCGATGACCATGAAAATGAAGAGGAATCTATCGACGGGATCCCCGAACGAAGCAGCCCTCCAAAGCTAACTGCATTGGAGAAAGGGAAGCAGAAATTGACTCCTTCTCCAAATGGGAAAGACGAGGACATGGACGCTCACCTCAAAGTGACCAAGTGTCTGAGGTTTTTTAACAAGCAGTATCTTCTCTGTGTCCAGGTTTGCGATTTTCCTGTTTTGTCTGTAGCAAATAGCAATGTTGATATAAATCTCGTTGTTGACTTGTTTTGATCCTTTTTTTTTTTTGTTAGGCCAAGTTGAGCAGGCCTGATTTGAAGGGAATAACTGAGGCAAGTCATGATTCTTTAACTTCTGGCCTTTGCTTGTTTTATGCAATATTGTGTTAGTAATGTGCTCAGATTCATTTGCAATGTTAGTAATGTACTGTTAACTTGGTCAATACAAATACACATTGTCTATCTTGAAATGAAACAACAATGCTCTGTTAAGCATCATTTCTCGATATATTTAATTTTCTTGCAAATAGATGGTTTGTCTATTCTTCTATGCATGTTGACCTAAGTCTTTAAGAATTTTTTTCAGATGATACAATCCAAGGCAATATTGTACCCAAGAAAAAGGATAGGTGACCTTCCAGGTTGGTTGGTAGTTGTGTTCTTACAACTTTGTTTCTTTTCCTACAACGTTTTGGTCTTAAAATTCTTACACAAAGTTGACATCATTATGTTATGATCACACTGGCTTGCAGGTATTGCCGTTGGACATCGTTTTTTCTCAAGAGCTGAAATGTGTGCTGTAGGCTTCCATAACCATTGGCTAAATGGTATCGATTATATGGGACTTGAATACAAAAAAGTAATACAGCTTGTCTTTTCTTTTACTTCTATTTTGATCTGATTGAATATTTTATTTCGTATATTTATTTATCACTTTTTACTTTTTTTTCTTCCGTTTCAGGAGTATAGCAAGTATGATTTTCCACTTGCTGTTTCTATCGTTTTGTCGGGCCAGTATGAGGATGATCTAGACAATGCAGATACTGTGACTTACACTGGTCAGGGAGGGCATAATTTAACTGGTAATAAACGACAGATTAAGGATCAACTGCTACTACGAGGAAATCTGGCCTTAAAGGTCTGTTTTATTTCTGCTTCTTATCATTA